CCGTTGAGCTCTTGCTCAGCACTGCGCAGATCCCCTCTGAGGCTTCTCTTCTCCAGCTCAGCAGCCCCAGGGCTCTCAGCCGGGCCTGGCACAGAGATGCTCCAGCCCCACAGCATCTCCACAGCCTCCACTGGACTCTCTCCTTGTCTCTCTTGACCTGGGAAGCCCCCAACAGGACCCAATGCTCCAGATGTGACCTCCCTGGGGCAGAGCAGAGGGGGAGGACAACCTCCCTTGGCAGGAACATCTACACTGCCCTGCAGGATCAGCCTGAGCGATGCCAGAGCCCATCTGCCCCCCGGGCTGTCTCGGAGGGGTGGCTGCATCCCCTGCACGTGCCCAGGCTGCGCTGACCCACACCAGCCTGGGCAGACAGACCACAGCCAGAGAGTCCAGGGGGCTCTCCCTCCCAGGCTGCCTTCTGCAGTTTAAACTCCCTCACAACCCCCAGCCAGTCTGGTGGAGGCAGAAGGGCCGGGCTGGGGTTAGAAAGTGAAGCTTTTCAGAGTTCAGCAAACTCCTTTTTCCAAGGGCCTGCTGGAAATGCTCTGGCGTAACTGGTGGGGAATGTCTTACATCGTTTACATATCATAATCCTCCTCCCCAGCAAAGAAAGCCTCTTTCAGCCCCGGGTTCAGCTGTCTCTGACTAAGGCCTGTGGCATCCAAAAAACCGGCTGCCCGCCGCGCGGCGTGAACCCTGGGGCTGACTGTTTATGTCTCCGACGACATTCCTGGAAGAAGCTGCTTTATACCTTTTTGTCCAAAGCCACGTGTGCTGGAAGGAAGCCTGAAGGTGGAGGCCTCTTGGCTGGCCCGTAGGTCAGCGTGGGTCTCAGGTTGGAGAACTCATCCAAGGCAGCTGCAGAAAGCTGGTTCCCGGAGAGCCGCCCCCCTGGCAGCCGAGAAAAGGCAAATCCGTTTTTGTAGCCCAGTGTCTGGGACCGAGGGAAAGCTGTTTTCTGGGAGAGGAAATCCAGCTGTTAAGATGCTGCCTCTGCCTACGGGATAGGGCTACTGAAAGGACAGAAAAATGGCAAAAAAAAGACACATCCAGAAGAGCCCCTCGTCCTCGGCGTTTTCTTACAACCTATTATATTCTTTTAAACCTATTGCAGCAGTTATTTAAAATCAGATTTTACACTCAGATCAAAGAGGCTGAAAAAACAGTAGGTGGCTGGAGGAGCAAAGCATCAAAGAAGTCAGATCCTAACGCTGGCACAGACCCTCCAGGAGCTTAAATTGCTCAGTTTCCCCATGGCCACCGTTGTCGGTGCCCAGGAGGAGGTGAGAGCTCTTCATCTGCCTCAGGGTGTCTCCCACACACTCTTTGTTCCTAGGCAGTGTTCCACCAGCACAGAGCACCACGGGACCTCACTCTGCTCCTCAGCTACAGTGCTCCCTTGACTATTACAGCTGTGTTTTCCATCACCAGTTACTGTGTCAGCCCTCGCATGGGGATGATGTGCACAGGATTTTTTTTGCTGGGCTAAATCAAGGTGTGTCACAGAATCACACAGGACCTCAGCATGGTGGGGTTGGAAGGGACCTCTGGGGATCACCTCATCCAACCCCCTGCTCCAGCAGCTCACCCACAGCAGGGTGCCCAGGGTCACAGCCAGGAGGGTTTGGGATCTCTCCAGAGGAGACTCCACAGCCTCTCTGGGCAGCTGGTCCAGGCTCTGACACCCTCCCAGCAGAGAAGTTTCTCCTCCTTTTCAGATGGAACCGCCTGGGTTCCAGTTGGTGCCCGTTGCCCCTTGTCCTGTCACTGGCACCACTGACCAGAGTCTGGCCCCAGCCTCTTGCCCCCTGGGGCCTTTTAGCTCTTGCTCAGCACTGCTCAGATCCCCTCTGAGGCTTCTCTTCTCCAGCTCAGCAGCCCCAGGGCTCTCAGCCTGGCCTGGCACAGAGATGCTCCAGCCCCTCAGCAGCTTCACAGCCTCCACTGGACTCTCTCCAGTAGCTCCTTGTCTCTCTTGAACTGGGGAGCCCAGAACTGGACCCAGCACTCCAGATGCAGCCTCACAGAACTGCAGTTAGGAAACGTACCCGAGCACTTGAGCTGTTCCAGCACCTCTCTCCACAGTCCATGCAAAGGTCACACACAAAATAACCACAACCACAGTGCAAGAGCCTGCAGCCAATTAATGAGAAGCCTGATAAGAGGAGAAGAATTCTACCTCTGTGAGCACTGCCTAACACTGGCAAAACTGTGAGTCCTTGAGAATAAAATCCTTGACTTTCCCTTGACTTTTGCCAAACAAACCAGAGCTGAGCACATTTCTTGCACTGGAGGAACAAGCTTCAGCTCCTTCTCCAGACCTAGACTCACAAGCAGTCCAACCTCAGGCATGTGAACCACTTCTTCTCCACCCCCTCCCTCGCTCCTCGTGGTTAAGCCTCTAATCTTATTTATACCTTCAATGCCCCACTTGAATTTCACATAGTTGCCTGTTTTCTCTTTAAACTGGTACTAGGGTCTTGCAGTGCTGTGGAGAGAGCAGTTAGGAAAACCAGTTTAGGTGAAAACAAGAGAGTTTAGTGAAGAGGTGTTGAAAAAACACATTCTAAACATCAGCCCTGCCACAGAACTGCCATTTCCTTCTCCTAAATAAATACCAAGGGAAAAAGAATTGAGGAAAGCCAGGAAGTTTGTCTCCAACCTGGGCAATATCAGTGTTTGTCAGAGGTGCACAGGCTTTTAAGGGCCTAAAGAAAACACCTCACAACTCCCGAGCAGCGTGGATGGCAGATAACATCTCACAGTATCAGGTGACTCATGGAAATTTAAAAGGGAAAACCCAAAATGTAAACTCCTAATCTCAGCTGCTGCCAGTCTCTAACTGAAGAAATTCCACCGAGTGAAGTCCTTCTTTTATGCTGTTCCTCTTCCCAGGGTCTCTGCTCCTCTGCCACGTGAGCACTAAGCACTAACAAGAGTAATTTATTGCAACACCAGGGTTTTCTTCACCACTTCTCAGCATCCACTTGGACAACAAGGATCCCGATGCCCTTTTTATAGGCTGGGAAACTGAGGCAAAGTGAGTTGAGGCTTGTCCTGGGGAACACTGCAAGGCCACTTCTGGAGGCCAGATCTCCTTAAAACATGACCTATAGTTCAATGTTTTGGGTTACTCTAACACACCAATCCCTGTGAAGCCTCGTGGGTGTTTCTTACACACACACAGAGCTGCTGGAGGCAGTAGAACTGTGTGTGGACTAAAGCAGGCAGGGGTTTACTGCCAGAGGAAATAACGTGTGGCTGGGGGCAGAAGTTTGCATTGCAGGTTTCCAAGATGTTCTAAATGATATCGAGGAAATAATGTTATTCAGCAGAGAATCATTCTGAGAGAACCTTTACCACTGCAGGGCTGAGAGAGCTCCTTATGAGTGAACCTCTCTACCCACTGCTGAAGAACTCGGTCATCATGGACTCACTGAATGGGTTGGGTTGGAAGGGGCCTTCAAGATTACCTAGTTCCAAATCCCTGCCACGGGCAGGGACATCTCCCACTAGAGCAGGTTGCACAAG